CACTTTGCCTGAGCAACTTCCTAGTTGTCTGAGCGCCAGTGTGTTGCTATTGCCTGTATCCTGCATTGACTACTCGTGTACTGACCACAGCTTCGTTCTCTGACTGTGCTTGTTTTCCACCTGTCCTGACCTCGGCTAGTCTATTGGATTTCTGTTTGTCTCCTCCCATTGTACTCTGCTCCTACGAGCGGTCTCCTCATCCTCAGCTGGGCGTACCTGGTCCCAGCTTGCTGCAAGTCCATCTCCACCATCAGGTGCTCTGGTGGAAAAGCAGGCTGGGGCTTAGACTCCGCGCCCTGGGGAACCCCAAGTTGACTATCTGCAAGGGCTCACTACCACAGGTGCTGACACCCTGTAATGTGTATTTTTGTATGGAGATCCATCGTATACTGTATACAGTAGTTCTGTCCAATTCATCAGTGCACTGTAGTTTAATCCTTCCTTCTAACCTCAAGTAGACCTAGGCTAACTAGTGGTTGTACCCACTGACTATTACAGTACAATTTTCAGTGGTTTTCAACTACAGAAAGTTGTAACACAAACAATGGCTTCAAACGTAACCTTATCAAATCTACAAGTTATAAAAAAATATGGGGCATAGGTGAATAACAATGATTTGTATTTGTTCACTTTGAGGCATGGTCCGGTCATATTTGAACCATTGAAACCTAAGCATATATGCAGGGAGCATAGTCTGTCATCTAAATAGTTCAGTCTTTCATCATATAATTTTTGTACTGCACCAGCCAACCCCACTCTCTTTTATCTGTAATCTGGTGATCCTGGAACCTACCTACTGGTGATGCTGGAACACATTCCCATAAAACACAGCTATAATCTGCATATAAATTGAAAGATAAAAGGAATAAAACAGATTATATTGTGGGTAACGCAGTGGTTGTATGGTTAGCACTTCCGCCTGGCAGTACTAGGGTCGATGATTTGAATCTCAGCCATGGCACTACCTGCCTGGAGCTTGCATGTTCTCCCTGTGCCTGCGTGGGTTTCCCCTGCGTACCCTAGTCTCCTCCCACACTCCAAAGACATGCTGGTAGGTGAATTGGATCCTGTCTAAATTAGCCCTAGTATGTGTATGTATGAATGTGAGTTAGGGACCTTAGATTGTACACCCCTTGAGGGTTAGGGACTGATGTGAATGTAGAATATACAGTATATGTAAAGCACTGTGTAAGTTGACAGCACTATACAAGTACCTGAAATAAATACATTAATTAAATTGATTACATGGTGTGATGACTACAAGATAAAATAAATCTGAAACTTTTTTTTTAAATCAAACATCAATTGGACCTTCAAAATTACAGCAACTTGAAGCTCTGATAATTAGCATCCTCAGTTATCAATGCTATTAATTAGGTTTAACAACTGATCACATCCAGCTAACCAAGCAGCTTATTTTGCAAACTCTAACTGATCTTGTTTCCCTCATAGATGTGGTGAATGAGTGAATAAGCACACAGTCCTGACCAGTGAAGAAAGCTGAGAGACATGATGAAACGTCTGCTGATGTGTTTCAACAATATTTATTTTTTTTTTTGTTTTTTTAAAAAAAAGGTTGTGCCTCACTATTTGTATACTGTTCTTTGAAATATCTCTATTTTTGGAAAATATAATTAAATCTTTCGTAAAGCAAAAAAGGTAATAAAAACAGAGATTCTATGCACATGAATAAATACAGCATTCTGGGCTTTTTTTTTTACTCATATGTGAAGGGGACTGATATAGGTATATTTTATGGGCTCTTATAGACCTATTTCTTTTGTTTCTGGTCCGGCCCGCTCCTCTGTGGTGCCTCCCTATGGGTATGGTCTGATAGGTCATCAGAGAAGCCATTCTGATTTTAACTCTGTTGTATGTTTGTTCATGCTGTTAAAGTAGTTGTAAAGCCTGAGGTTTTTTTGCTTTCATGCATTTTATGCATGAAGGTAAAAAAACTTCAGTATGAAGCTCCCCCTAATACTTACCTGAGCCTGATCCCAATCCAGTGATGTGTATGAGAGTGGCTGTTGTTCCGACTCTCTGCCTCCTCATCGGCTCAGACACCGCAGCGGAAGCCATTGGCTTCCGCTTCTGTCAATAGCAGCCAGTGAAGAGGGAGTGGGGACGGGGCTCAGGAGCAAACATGCATGAGTGACCCTATAGCAAGCAGCATGCTATGGGGGCACTCAGCAGGGAGGAGAAGTCCAGATCACCAGTGGGGGACCTGAGAGAAGGAGGAATGGGGCTGCTGTGTGCAAAACCCTTGCACAGAGCGGGTAAGTATAATGTTTCTTATTTTAAAAACGAAAAAATTAAGCCTTTAATATCACTTTAAGAGATACTCACCTCCCGGTATTTTAATGAAGATGTAGGATTTGACCCAAGAAACACGTTGAATGTGAAGTCCACATAATGTGTCAAATGGAAATGATTGTAATGCTGTATATGTAAAATATCCAGTATGGGGAGTTATGGGCGTCATATGTGATAATCAAGCAAGATGAACAGCAGTGTTTGTATTTATTGTATTTAATTATGTTCATAGAAGCTGTATTTTTATTACTTTTTTGAATAAAAAATATTGATTTTAGTGACTTCAATTGCCTATACCTTGAGAAGTCCTATCCCTTTTAGATTGTAAGCTCTAACGAGCAGGGCCCTCTGGTTCCTCTTGAATTGTATTGTAACTGTACTTGTTCCGCAAACTGTTGGCGCTATATAAAATCATGTATAGTAATATTTAAAAAAATAGTTTGTTTGTATGTTAGGGCTATTCTAGCTATGCTGTTCCACCAGGATGTTGGTACTTACCATATGCAATAAGGAACAATGACCTGCTCAGTTTTTATTCAGGAGATTGTTCAGCAGCAGTATCTCTTCATTGCAGCAGAGACTAGTTTCTTTTTCATGCAGCTTTTATTTTAAGAATTTCAGTTAGGTGGTGGCATAAATGATGCTTTAAAGGAAACCACTGTAATGAATTCTGTGTCATTTTAAATGCCACAGTATGCTAAAAGCAGTCCAACAGAGAAACATCACTGAGTGGTACCTGGGCTGCAGAATCTTCTATGACCACACAAGTAACAATAACAAGCGACACTGTGTTAAGCCTAGTCACCTATAGCATCTAATTCACATGTTGTATATCTTTCTCTTACATGATGTTAATAAACTGAAAGCTGATTGGCTGATATAGGTTAATGCACTTTGCACATCAATGGATTAAATCATATTCTGCGCTTAACGTGTTACTAAACCTAGGACCCTGCATTCACTATATCTGGTCTCCCACAGTACACAAAACATGAAAATGCAATTATTTTAGTAAATATTATCACGTATCTGGTGATGGAGGCCAACGGAGAGAGGGCTTCCCTTGCGGTTAAGTTCCGGACTCCCCTGGGAGTGGGACAGCAGGAGTCAGGTCAAAAGTTGCACAGGTAAGAATGCTGGTTGGTGGTCCACTCAGGAGCACAGCTGGTGCATGGAGATAGGTCTGCAGACAGGAGGCGCCTGTGCGTGGTATGCAAGCCCTTCCGGGATTTGGATGTTTACTGGGTAGTCAGTTCAAGCCAAGGTCAGGTAAGAGGTGGGAATCAGAGCGGACGTAGTCAGATGGGATAGCTGAAGTCATTCACAGAGGAGCGAGAGAGAGAGAGAGTATCCGTAAGCCAAGTCGAGGTCAGATCAGGGGTAAATCAGAGTAGACAGGTCCAGGAGCAAGCCGAGTCGGTAAAAGGAAATCGCAAGTCAGAACCACAGGAAACAGGAACCAGGAATAGGGCACGGGGAGCTAGAGATCATCCAGCAACTAGTGGAAGTGATGAGCCTCCTTATAAAGGCCGCCTGGCACCATACTGAGGCTGATGTGTACTTCTGCGGCCATGTAGAGTACTGGCAGAAATGCCAGATCTTCCAGAACGTCTGCCGTGGACAGGACCCTGACAATATAAACTGCTAAATACCTTTTCTCATCAGCAGTTAGAGCAGCCTTGCGACTTCTATCAGTGTCCAGCCCACCACTAGCTAAAGCTTGTACGAGGAGTTTTCTTTCTGCTCTAGAACGATGCAAATCTCCTGACCTCTCTCAGGACAGTGCTGATTGGCCTTGTGCTAATCACATGCACTCTCCCAAGAAAAAAAAAACAACCTCTCTAGCAATACACACCAAACTGAGCATGTGCATGCCTACAGTTCAGTCTGGAGACAAGAGGTGGTCACTTGAAAAGGGGGAGGAACAGAGAAGAAAGGACCAAACAGCGTTTTTACACAATGCGGAGGGTTAATCCCATAGGTTCCACAGTGAGTATAACAAGCATGCTTTACTGCATATACAGACTGATTTTACTGTTGTGGATTTAGTAACACTTTAAATCAATATAAATCTACAATATATTGCCAAAAAGTATTGGGACACCTGTCTTTTTACACGCACATGAACTTTAACGGCATCCTAGTCTTAGTCCGTAGGGTTCAATATTGAGTAGGCCCACCCTTTTCAGCTATAACAGCTTCAACTCTTCTGGGAAAGCTGTCCACAAGGTTTAGGAGTGTGTCTATGGGAATGTTTGACCATTCTTCCAGAAGTGCATTTGTGAGGTCAGGCACTGATGTTGGACAAAAAGGCGTGGCTCTAAGTCTCCACTCTAATTCATCCCAAAGATGTTCTATCAGGTTGAGGTCAGGACTCTGTGCAGGTCAGTCAAGTTCCTCCACCCCAAACTCGCTCATCCATGTCTTTATGGACCTTGCTTTGTGCACTGGTGTGCAGTCATGTTGGAAAAGAAAGGAGCCATACCAAACTGTTCCCACAAAGTTGGGAGCATGAAATTGTTCAAAATGTCTTGATATGCTGTCACCTTAAAAGTTACCTTCACTGGAACTAAGGGGCCCAGCCCAACCCCTGAAAAACAACCCCTAGCAACTGCCAAACCCAGACACATCCATTGGATTGCCAGACAGAGAAATGTGATTCGTAACTGCAGAGAACACATCTCCACTGCTCTAGAGTCCAGTGGCGGCGTGCTTTACACCACTGCATCCAACGCTTTGCATTGTACTTGGTGATGTAAGGCTTGGATGCAGCTGCTCAGCCATGGAAACGCATTCCATGAAGCTCTCTGCACACTGTTGTTTCCAATCTGAAGGCCACATGAAGTTTGGAGGTCTTTAGCTTTTGACTCTGCAGACAGTTGGCGACTTCTGCGCACTGTGTGCTTCAGCATGCACTGACTGTAATTTTACGTTGCCTACCACTTTGTGGCTGATTTGCTGTTGTTCCCAGTTGCTTCCACTTATAATCCCACCAACAGTTGACCGTGGAATATTTAGTAGCAGGGAAATTTCACAGATGGACTTATTGCACAGGAGGCCACCTATCACTGTACCACGCTTGAATTTACTGAGCTCCTGAGAGTGACCCATTCTTTCACAAATGTTTCTAGAAGCAGTCTGCATGCCTAGGTGCTTGATTTTATACAACTGTAGCCATGGAGGTGATTGGAACACCTGAATCCAATGATTTGGAGGGATGTCCCAATACTTTTGGCAATATAGAGTATATACGTTTTAAATTATATCCATGACAATTTCTCTAAAATGAAAATCAAATAAATTAAAAGTGACAATTCTTATACATGAATAAATTAAATGCCATTTTTAATACCATCACAAAAATCCATTCAGTTCCCCTTCCCCCTTTCAACATGAGTTTTTTTGAGAGGCGGTAACTTTTTGTGACAGGTTCCTCGTCCAACATATGCAATCCTCTCCTAGGTGAGAATTACTTAAGCTTGGCTCATCACAAGTCTCAGGAGGCTGTGGGATCAACCTGACATGATGTCATGCATACGTAGTGGGGAGTTGTCTGTGAAACAGCAGGAGGTCACAGCCAGCTCCCACAGCCAAGATGCTGGGACCAGGGTTAGAGATGGGCTGTACACTGTGTGCTCAATACCGATATTAGTATGAGTGCAACCCTACTGATGCATAATCAATTCTAACAATCGTGAGACTCCAAGTGTGTGTGGGCACCAGTCATCTCTCATATTATACACCTAAAAGGTAAAAGACACTTTCTTACAAAATGTTTCATATTTGACATACAAGTCATCTTGGCATGCTCACTTTATAACCAGTCATAGATTACTTTGTACATTCATCATGATTTCAATAGTTCTGGCTCCAATACAATACAGTTTACAGCAATCTTATATTGTAGAAGGAGTTAAAGTGTTAACTGTCACAGATTTCTATCAGCAGCACAGATTCAGTGATCAGCCTATTAAGCTCTTTGTTGCTTTAAGAGCACATAAAAGTGCATGTATCATTTTGTGTACTTTGAAGAGGGAAGGACTCATTTTATCTGTCAATTCTTGTGGGTAAAGCTTCATTTCTGCTGTGCTGATTCCTGTGATTAGTTCGCTTATTTCTCCCCTAAAGCAGGATTCTGAAACTGCATCTCCCCTGTAAATTACACTCTATTTACTTTTGCTGCTTGCTTTATGCTCTTCTCTTATCTGTTCTGCTGCTTGTATGTGAACTTTGTCTATGAAAATTGTCTCTATTGATTTTTTCACCACCCACCTTGTTCCTACTTTGGTGTAAAAATAAAAGCAGCTGGAGGTTTGAGAATCAGTTGAAAATGAAGAGCATGCAACGGTTGCTCACCAGCCTGGGGGTGTTTACACAATAATGTAAGACGAATGGAGATGATCATAGCAAAGTAGCAAATTATTTAAATATTATGACAGTTTTTTATTCAAAAGTTTTGTTTATCTCAATAACATATCAAGAATGGGAATACAAAGCAAAATATTTGGAGCTCTATTCACAAAAGTAAAACAAGGGGATAAGAATTTTTATTTGTTTATTTTTTTAAAGTGACAGTTATTTTTAGCAGTGTCCGATTACAGTCACATGGCTACAGATCCTTAAAGTGGTTGTAAAGGCTGAAGGTGTTTTTCAACTTCATGCATTCTATAATGATCCAGTGATGTGCACGGGAGCCTCGGCTGTTCCAGGTCTCTCTCTCTCCCTATGGGAGCCATTGGCTCACACAGCAGTAGAAGTCATTGGCTCAAACTGCTGTCAATCACAGCCATTGAGCCAATGAGGAGAAAGTGGGGGGCAGCTCTCTGTGTTTATGGACGCATAGAGCAGGGCTCAGGACGCACCAGTACCCCCATAGGAAGCGGCTACTGGCCAAGGGCGGGTGACCCAAGAAAAGGAGGATTAGGGCTACTCTGTGAAATACCATTGCACAGAGCAGGTAAGTATATCACATTTGTTATTTATAAAAAATCAAAAAGCAAACTTTTAATATCACTATAACCTTTGTAAGGCCAAATTCAGACTTTTTCTGTGTGTTATCAAATGCACATTAGGGCCCCTTTCAGACAGGGCAGACCAACCAGTGGATTTGTTTGCTTAGCGGGGGATCTCTCCACTGATCCCCACTGAGCAAGTGGATGACAGGTCTGTGTTCGCCCTGCTCCCCTTTTTTCTATGGGGCGGTCGGATGGACTATAAAGGTCTATGGCTGGTCTGATCGGTTCCGCCTGAAAAACTGACAAGCAGACCCAATCGGACCGGCAGTGTGAAAGGGGCTTAATGTGTGTTATGTCATGCATTAACGTGGGCTGCAGTAAGGCAGCGCATTCACTTTAACCACTTGCCGACCACAGATAGCCAAATGACGGATTCACTGGGGCCGGCCAGTTCTGGGAGGGCGTCATATGATGTCCTCCCAGAACGCACCCCCAGCGATCTCCGTGATCGCTGTGTCCTACAGACACAGCTGACCACATGATGTGGTAAAAGGCCAATCACAGCGACCTTTTACCACATGATCAGCCATGTCCAATGACACAGCAGATCATCGGTAAATGCAGTTTCTGGTTATCAGCTGCACTTTCCTCACGCTGTCACAGCGTGAGGAAAGTACTGCCGATAACCGGCAATTGTCAGAGGAGGGATCGGCACGGATCATCAGGGCACTGATGATCAGTGCCCCGATTATCATTGCCCAGCAGTGCGGCCCACCTCTGCTCATCAGTGCCACCCACCTATACCCATCAGTGCCACCCACCTGTGCCCATCAGCGCCCAGAAGTGCCGCCCACCTGTGCCCATCAGTGCCACCCACCTGTGCCCATCAGCACCCAGCAGTGCCACCTACTTTTGCCCAGCAGTGCCACCCAGCAGTTCCACCCAGAAGTGCCACCCATCAGTGCCACCCAGCAAAGTCACCTTTCAGGCCCTAGCAGTGCCGCCAGTCAGTGCTGTCAGCCAGTGCCCATCATTGTTGCATATCAGTGCCAGTTCATCAGTGCCGCCTCTCAGTGCTGCCTATCAGTGCCCATCATTGTTGCATATCAGTGCCGCCTATCAGTGCCACCTGCCGCCTGTCAGTGCCCATCAGTGCCAGTCAGTGCTGCCTATCAGTGCCCCTCAGTGCTGCCTATCAGTGCAGCCTCACACATCAGTGAAGGAGAAAAATTACCTGTTTGCAAAATTTCATAATAGAAACAGGGAAATTTTTTTATTTTTTTCAAAATGTTTGCTCTTCCTTTGTTTATAGAGCAAAAAATAAAACACCCAGTGGTGAGTACATACCACCAAAAGAAAGCTCTATTTGTGTGAAAAAAATTATAAAAATTTCTTATGGGTACAGTGTTGCATGACCGCGCAATTGTCACTCAAAGTGTGACCGTGCTGGGCGCATGCGCGGCCAGGGACGATGGCGGCTGCATTCTAGCTGAACTCCGCTCATCCCCGGCCAGCGCGGACTCACCTGCTACACGCCACTGCTTCCCTGCTAATAAGGGTGAGACCCACCCACTTGGCACCCTGCCCGGCTCCAGGGAGAAACCTGTATGGGGAAGATAGGGCGCTGGAAGCCCCCCTCCCCGCAGCCACCGGATTCGCGGCCCTCGCTGCTCCGGCGGTTCCTGTCCAGGCCGCAATCCCCGGCCTCCAGTATGCCCAGGAACCCAGGGAGAGATCCCGGCCCCCCGGTGGTCACGGATGGTACTGCACCTTCATGCCTGTCAGCTTCCATGCCTGCCTCTGCCCTGACTCAGCCCCAGATGGAGGACTCTGATCCCCATAATATAACTGGGGATTCCCAGCATATAACTGGGGGGCAGCAGAATACTCTGCATCGGGAAATCATCCTCCCTCCACCCAGATATCTCAGCAAACCATACCGTCTCCTTCCCTCACACTTTCAGCGCTAGATGACAAGTTGCAAATTTTTCTGCGCAATATTACCGCATCCATATCCGCTGAAATTGGAAAGCTGGCATTAGATCTCAGAGGGGAAATAACTCAGATTGGAGACCGCACGGATAAATTGGAGACTGAGTTTGATGATTTGGTGCAATACGTTCATGTTTTGGAAGAGGATAACGCATATTTGAAGCATTCCATGTCCCAAATGCAACTCCAGCAAGAGGATTTTAGAAAACCGGGAACGGCGCCAAAATATCCGTATACGCGGTATGTCCGAATCTATCGCTGATGCGCAATTGCACCGTCACCTTCTGTCCCTCTTTAGCGCAACTGCTCCATTGGTTCCGGAAACGGATTGGCGAATGGATAGGGCTCATCGCTCACTGGGCCCAAAACCTGTCGAAGGCACCAGACCACGCAACGTCATAGTTCGCTTCCATTTTTTTCAGAGCAAAGAAGCCTTATTATCAGCTGCTCGCCACAAATCATCTCTGGAATTTAAAGGTGACAGACTCCAACTCTTCTGCGATTTGTCTCCGACTACCTTGGCCAAGAGACGAGCCCTGAAGCCGCTCACCACACACCTCCAACAACATCATGTCCTTTACCGATGGGGGTTTCCTTTCCGGTTGGTCGTGACTAGGGATAATTCCCAAGTCGTGCTTTGTGATCTTCAAGAGGTGGATTCCTTCTTAAAGCGCCTGGGACTTCCACCTTTGCCTGAAGATGTGTCCCCTCTGCCACCAACTCCGTCTCGTCCATCCGCCACACCCAACAAGATCTGGACTCCAGTCCGCGGAGGACGGAAGAGACTCACACGTACCCCACAGCGTCCACGTCACCCTCAGTAGATCAATCCATCTGTATGATGATTCTCTGGGGTGCCCTTCCGATGTGTTTCCGGTGATGATCCTTCCTTCCTGGGTTTTTTTTTTTTTTTTTACAAAATATTTTTTTCTTTTTGGGTTTCTCTTTTCTGTCCGGCCGAACCATTGTTGGGTGCATTTTCTCACTTCTGTTTTATCTGGCCGGGCATGACGATTTTTCTGATGTCTTGGTTGTCGTGCTGCTCCCGAATTTGTCTAGCCATAGGCCTAGACGACTTGGGCCAATTGGTTGTTCCCGAGTTTATATCCTCATGGATACTTATGTCAATTTCTATGTTTACACTTTTCTGTGTTACTTTATTGTTTTTTGTTTTTTTTTTCTATTGCATCGATGGTATTTTTCATTTTTTTT